CCTATTTAGCCTTGTACTGCAGAGAGCTTTGTGTTCTTATTATGAGAATTTTTTTAACTAATGTTGCATTACTTAAATATACATTGTTAAGAGATTTTGTGGTATAAATGGGATACACTGACTGTCTTTATACACATATTCTGCCGGTAGACATTAGGAAAGTGTAAGACTCAATAATCAAGATTTGTTGTTTGTTTATAGGATAATATTAATTTTGTCTCTATATACATATTTTGCTAATAGACATTTGGATATTGCAAGACAGAAAAATCAGGACTTGTTGCTAGTTAACAGGACTATTGGATATAGTGAATACTTTTTAGGTTTACTTATTATTATTAATATCATTCGTTTTTATTTTGTAAATAGCTTTCTGTGTATTTAATTAGCACTAAGTCACTTTTTCAAACCTTAATTGAGTTAAGAATCACCTGGTTAATATTCTGTCTAAATACGTCAATTATGACGTCACCTGTCCTTGCTTTCAATCTTTCATCCTCCAATAGGAATTTTGTTGTAACATATATAATCACGGTTTATTCATTGCATGAATTGTCTTGAGAAAAGTCTATTGTGGCTGAAACGTCGACATTTTTGTATTCTGCACAATAAAGCAGTATTTATTTTGATATAAAACGAAGACTCCAGAGTGCTCTCTACTTGGATGAGATATATATATATATATATATATATATATTTGTGTTCGGGGCAAATAGCCGTATATGGAGTAAGGTTCCAGCATAAGCGTAGGATAGTATAAAGGGAGCAAGTCGGTTGTGGTGTGCCGAGACCGACGATACGGTAGGCCTGTAAATAAAGAGGGCCCACCAAGGAGGAAGTAAGTAAAGTAAATGGAAAGAAAAGAGAAAGTGTTGAAATGAGGAGTGGGTGGGAGGGTCATTCTGATGCTGACCTCAAGCGATATGAGTCAGGTAAGGGGTGTCCCTTATATAGGGGAGTGAATTAATTTAAGCCCCTCCCAACAAATACAGGCCAAAGGGCCTTAAAACTTGTGTTCGGGGCAAATAGCCGTATATGGAGTAAGGTTCCAGCATAAGCGTAGGATAGTATAAAGGGAGCAAGTTGGTTGTGGTGTGCCGAGACCGACGATACGGTAGGCCTGTAAATAAAGAGGGCAAAAAGAATAATCAAAGATTTAATACAGTCAACAATATAAACAAATTAACCAGACATTTCCTTAAATGCAATACGGTATTTAATTCCTTGAAGGATTTTTGAAGGTAGGAATCTAGGATCGCAACTGGACACCATTTGTTGTGGGTAGGATAGTATGTTATCTCTACTGTTGGTGCGTGTTGACTCATTTCGGAATGTGGTAGAGCCAATAGGTAATGATATATGTTTACATACGTGGAATCGTTGAAGACAATGATCTGTCTGAGTGGTGGTTATGGTAGTGGATTCTCTGGCCTGAGAAAGGCATAAAAGGCAGTGTGCATGGCTGGTAATGGCCAACTTGGTAGTATAATTGAATGGTTGTAGCTCTAATAGGTCCGATAAGGATGGAAAAGTTGGATGGCTATTGGTAATATCTGAGAGGAACGTGGGGGGATGGATTCCTGAAAACCTCTGAGTATATTCTTGTCTGGTATGATAGCATGAAGTTATGGTAGTTTTTGGCCATAGGTTATTCTGTGTTGTGAATGCCTGTAAAATATATAATTAATGGTGTGTGAGATGGTTTTAGTTTAAGGTGGCAAAAAATGAAGCAAAACCTAGGAGAAATGTTATGACACAGGTTGAGCTATGTCGTGTTCCAATGAGATTCTTTAAAGCCAGGTGAATAGCTGTGTTATGCGTTCTACAAGTATGGGATGAAAGTGCTAGGTGGGATAGTGCATGCTATGCTGCATGAGTATGTCTAATCCATGATTTTGTCTCTGGAACAAAAGAGTGGCCGTGACTGTATGGGCGGCTGTAGGAAGCGTATGATGAACGTGCCTGGAATATAAATGAGAAAATTGTTGGCAGGGATGTATACCCCCGCCTGGTACATGAAAGTAAAAGAAATGTGGTAAGTGGCCAACCAAGTGAGTTCCCCAGCAATACCATGATCGTATGGATGATGAGTGGCATTTGTTGATGATATGACATGTGCTTAGTTGTCTGAGTAACAACGGATTGATGACCCTGACCATGATTTACCCCATGCCACAGCAGCTGCTTTTAGCGGGGAAAGGATTGCCCATTTATATCATGTAAGTGCCAGTTTGTAGGGTAGATGGTAGCCGTTTACTGTGTTGATGATATTGGTCTTACTTAACGAAGCTTCAACCCATACTTGAGTGATAGCTGTAAAGGTAGATCAATGGTGTGTATAGTAAGGAAACTCCTCGGAGGATATGAGGGAGTTGAGACTTGGGGTAGCGAAGGTGTGTGGTGCCAATAAGTCTATGGTTAGTCTTTGTTTAAGGGAAGATTCCCTTTTGACAATACCAATGTGTTTGTGTTTGGTGCCATGCTGTAAATGGTGGAGATTGGAAAACCCAAGTAAAAACCCCTCTGCAAATCTTGGCTATGAGTGTGTTTACAGCCGACGGTTCTGCTGTGCTGACTGTAAGTGAGGGCATGCTATATTCCTTGAGAGTATTTATGATACCTGTATGGGAGCTCTTTGAAGCTCCAGAGCCTTAGTAAATCTACTTCAAGTCTGGAAGGGTGATGAGTCAGTAGTGTTGAAAATGCATTGGTGTGTACAGATGGTGAGTACGTTATTTGTAAGTTGTATTGGGACACATGGTTTGTCATGTGCCCTGAATGATTTGAACATATATGCAACAGTCTATATGCAATGCAACTACTAATACCAATTGTCTCTGGTAGTTCAGAGGTGCTGGTACCTGGAGCCTGAGAGTGCTCGTCCGTTTGTTTGGGAGAAAATCCCTTCTGTATGGGTACCTGCATAAATAAGCATCTCTACATATTCCAAATGCCAACACAACCAAGGGATGGTCAGTTCCCGATTTACCTAGAATCTCTGGGTCTGACCATCATAGATACATCATCATACATATATATGCCTTGTTTCCCCAATGTGATGCGGGATCATATGTGCAGGGTTAACGTCTTGTACCAAGAATTGATTGTACCAGGTAACAGAGTTTCGGTTGGTGCTGGTTGTACAGTAGCGTGAGGCCCAACCTTGTGAGGGCTGTGACTGACTCGAGATTGCCAGTCTGTCGTAAATTTTTTGGCTCATGAGTTTATGAGTGAGGCTAGCATGTCCTGGGTGTCACCTGAGTTGGTGTTGCTGGGCCTTCCCCTGCCTCCATGTTGTCCGTTGATGTATGGAGGAGTTTGAATAACTCTGCTTTCCTTGCTGTGGCAGGGTAGGGGATTTGTCGCCTCCTTAGGTCGGAGCCACATCTCCTCTGCTTGAAGGTGTATCACTTCTAGCCGGGGTGCCAGGAAGAGGTGATTCTTCACCATCTTTTTGAGAAATACTTAAATAACAATAAAGATTGCAATTATTATTTGTACCCAGGGGTCTTGTACTGGCTTGCTAGCTAAGCCGTAAGGCGAAACGATTAGGCTTGGTGTTTTTTGGTGACTGGTGAGGCCCTGCTAGTTGCCAAGTGGCTTGAGAGGCTCTATCTATGCTTGGCGCGAGGGGATTTTTTGTGGCCACCGAACGTTGTGGCAGGATATTGGCCTCTCGGTGACAGTAACCAGAAAATAGGAAGGGGAGTGACAGGTGAGGCCCTCTCTATGATACAATGCGAGGCGGCTAGCTCACGAGTGGCCCGAGGGGTGTATGCCTCCGAGTGTGAGGCGGGGTGTTGGCCTCGCGGGACCACTAACCGAAGCATAATGCAGAGAAAAAAGGGGGTAATACCTATTGGGCCCTAGAACCCTAATTGCCAGTACACTATTACTATTCCAGGGAAGGTAAGAGATGGATAACTACGTGAGCAGGTGTACGTACCTGGTAGTATGGTATTGAACCTGACAATCCGTATAGGTTTTTTAGTAGTAACTGTAACCTGAATGGATAAAATCGTATGGCATAAGGAAATATGGCATAGACCAAGCTTATCTTAAAACATACAGTATATGTGAAAGTAAAGTGCCGTGATATGTAAATATTAAACATCATATCCATACTGGTTAAATATGTATCAATCTTAACCCATTAAGTGCCGTATGTATGTGAACCATATTACCAGTTACGTATATACAGATGCGTGTGCTACTGTGTAATAATGTGTATTTATAACAGATATTGCTATACTGCTTGCTATGTGAATTGTTGTATGCCTTATTGAATGATCAGTGAACATGGAGTTGCAAAATGCAAGTGCATTGGAGATCTGCCGAGTGCCCTATAGGTGGCAGTGTAGTTGATACTGATTGGTATGTGAAATGTTGTTTGTATGTTGACCTATAGGGGTCAGTGTTTTGGTGTTTGTAAAACCCCATGAAAAACCCCATGAAAATTGTCAATGTACTTGACAGACCTGTAGGTGGCAGTGTTGATAGAACCACTGTTAGTCTTAATGTGAAATGTAAATTATTGTGAATTAAACCTGAAGTTGAGCCCGTGTTGGAGTTTAATTTATGGTTATGTTTAAAACAATCTTATGTGTAATTTATATTGGCTGGTAATTGTATATGACATGTGAAGACCGTTTTGCTGTTGACCAGTAGGGGTCAGAAATGCTGATTGTATGGTAAAATACCCTTTAACCCCTGAAGGATACATGACATGTGTGACATATCATGATTCCCTTTTATTCCAGAGTTTGGTCCTTAAGGGGTTAATCCAAATGCAAGGTTAACGTGAGATTTTGAGTGTGACCTGTAGGGGTCAGTGTGGTTTATGTGAAACATTGTTTGTGAGCTATGCCCCAGCATTATAGTTGTGTGACAGGGAAACAAA